CCGCTGAACCCCCAAACCCCAAAACCCTAAACCCCTCGAGCCTCAACCTCTAAACCCCGCTCAAAACCTAAACCCCCAAACCCTGGCCCTCTACACTGCCCAGGTATCGTAGTGTGGTGGCCACTGTGAACAGCCGCGAGGAGGGTGCGCTGGAGCGCCTCATAGGCGTGGGTCCCGTTTAGGGTTAGGTGAGTCTAGGGTTCAGGGTTTAGGGCGAGGACGAGTTCAGGGGCGAGGATTTTCAAAGTTGAAGAAGGGCTGTATTGCGTACTTGGCAGGGGTTTAATGCGAGTTTGATGCTTTTGCGAGGGGTTCCAGAAGGATGCGGAGAGGCTTGAAGAAGGATTCTTTCAGGGTTGTGGTGCAGCAAGGGATCTACGTACCTCCAGGCCCCAGCCTAATTTGTTGGTCTCGTGCCTCGACATTGGGGTATCTAACCGAATCTAACCCGTACATTAACCCGTTTAAGATAACAGCCCTCAATGTAGCCCAGAAAGGGCGAGCGAACTCTCAAAGCTGTTCCAGGCCACACGGAAAGGCTCGACGTCGCAAGGCAGCGGCAGCTGCTCCTTCAGGCGGGTGCTGACTAAGGCTCATGAGCGCGAAACCTTGTGGTGTTATGGGGGTTGCTATGAGAGTTTCTAGCGGGGGTTCCTATAAGGGGCCACAAGACGGGTGACTGTAAGTGAGGGCTGCTAAAGAGGGCACTGTAAAGGGTTGCCTCAGTGATGAGTTGCGAGATGACGGTTGAATCCGCCATATCTGGTGGGTGTGACATGATTTCTCCTGCGACTGCACCTCTGGGTGCTGGTAGCCCCTGGCCAGGGTTTGGGGTTTAGGGTTTCGGGTTGAGGGTAAGCATGTCACTTCAAGGTCGCCTCTTTGCATGCTGTTTGTCGAGTCGTGATGTCTCAACAGTGACAGCCCACATTCTACTGGTTGTCGCAGAAGCAGATGTCAACGTCGTGGTCATCCTGCAAGTAGCAGCCGCACGCCACCAGGCCATGCCAGCCCTGAGCTTGAATCGCCCAAGCCCTGAACACTCAGGCAATCGAGGTCGTCAATCTTCTTAGCATGGTGGAGTAGATGCAGAATGTCACCCCCAACCACACCCGCCCAAACTAACAGGATACTTTAAACCCCCCTCAGCCTTGAGTTGAGGGTTAGGGCCTCAACCAGTAAACATCGTTAAATCTTGAAGTCTTTAAATCCCGAGCCTTCAATGCTTGGAAATCGAGGCAGGATTCGCGTACCATTTTCGAAATCATGTGCAAACTTACTTGTCTGAGCAAGAAAAGGAAGGACGTGCTTATGAGTCTCCATATAACAGGTGCTAGTATTACATACAGTATCCCCTCATGGCTCCTATGTACTTAGACTACGATATACCCTAAGACCTTCTTCTACTCACTAAGGTCCCCACATAAAATTACTTCATTATAACCGTTAGAATATACCACCTGCAACCCTAAACCCTAACCCTCCTCAACCAAAAACTCTCAACCCCCAACCCAAAGCCCTAAAACCACAAACAACTCGACTTCTACTGCCTTTTGAGGATGGTTTCGGTCGGATCTTGGCCCTCCTGGCAGGCCTCTTCTTCTTTTTTTGGTGCAAGACTCCAAAGAGGGTTTAGTTGAGGGTTTAGGGTTTAGGGTGTATGGGTTTAGGGTGGAGCGTATGAGGACTCGAAAGGGGTCGTGTATGGGTCTTTGCAGGGTTTTGCGTGCGTTTTGTTCGAGGTCGCCCCGTAATACCCTCCGAAAAATGAAGAGGACGGGGCACACGGAGTGCAAGATTCATGCCACCTTAAACCCTTAGCCCTAACTCAGCTGGAACCGGCAGATTCTGAAATTGGGATGTTGGTTTTGGTCAAACGGCCTGTGCCTTTTTTCTGTTTCTCGATGGCCTTGTAGGGGTTCTCGGGTCGCCAAGGCTTCGGAGCAACTTAGATTGCAAGGCAAGGTTGAGAGGTACGTGGGGTTGTTTGTGGGTTTCAGGCGTAGTCTAGCAGTCTAGCATTGAGGCTACAAAGAAGCGTGCGTAGTGCTGTTTACAGCGAGCTCCCATATCAATTTTATGCCGCTTATGTCGTTTATATGATTCTGCGTCGGGCTTCTGCGGTGTAGGCTACATCGCAATAAGATCCATACCTCTCTGTTTACATTAGGTATATATGTATGTGTCGGTACGCACAGACACCTGTCTGTATATGAGAGTGGCTTCTCAACAACATGACATAGTGTGTATGTTCCCGTACAGAAATGTCTGTTCAAGCATATATATATATATACACACCTACATACCTGCACACATACATACGTACATACATAGACCTGAATACATGCATACATCTTTGTGCATGAGTGTGTGTGTACACACAATATGTGGCTTTGAGAATACATAGCAAGCACAGCATGCCACCTGCATGCTCTAACGCCGCTTGCCTTGGTCACGCAGTGACTGCTCACAGTTGACACAGATTGAAAAGGTAGCTGGGAGCCCTGCGATCCGATAGTTTGGGCTGTAGGGTCTTAGGAGGTTCGGGCTTTGGGGCTTTCGGATGTTAGGATTTCAGGGTTAGGGTCTAGGCATGTGAGGCTTTGGGGTGCCCTAATGCCTTCGGCTCAGCGCAGCTGAAGCTGCGGTTCATCAAGGTTTTGGCGAAAAGGACGATGCAGCCGGCGACGGCCCACCTCCGGATATATCCTGCTAAGCCCTAAACAGTAAGTACATAAGTACATAATCACCAAGGCCCAAGCCGGACCCTGTAACGAAATCCCACGCTCATCATAAGCCCTTGGACATTACCATGGAGTTTAGGGTTTAAATAATTATACAGGGGTTTAGGGTTTAGAAAGGGGTTTAGGTTTTTTGGGGTTTACGGTTTATACAGGGTTTAGGTTATTTTTGTAGGGGTTTCGGATTTTTGTGGGGGGGGGTAGGGCTCTTGCATCACCGTTGCTTTTGGGACTTGGAGGCCTGGCTTTGCTCTCGGCGTTCGCGGCCTCCCTGGGCCATTGGCTGGATCGCCTCGCCTGGCCGGGTCCCGGGGGGTGGGAAGGGTCTCTTCTTTTCTATAGGGGCCTGGGTTCCTTTAAAAGGGATACCATAAGGGTTACTATGAGAGTTCCATAATGTAGGGGCCTTAATCATTAGAATATGGTTTGGGGGTATATCATACTATAACTATAATAAGGAGCCCCTAAAACCCTAGTCTAATTATTTAAGCCCCTACATTAGGTGACTAGAAGGGTTCCGGAAAGGGTTGCTGGTTCCTGCAAGGCATCCTTTAAGGGGGTGGTTTGAGGGGCTTGGGGCTTTTAGGCTGTGGACGAACACGCCGCCTTGGCCTCGTCTGAGGGTTCAGGGTTTAGGGTTCAGGGTTTAGGGTTTGGGGTTTAGGCTTCAGGGCTTCAGGGTTCAGGGTTTGGGGTTTAGGCTTCAGGGTTCAGGGTTTAGGGTTCAGGGTTTAGGGGTCAGGGTTTAGGGTTGAGGGAGTCCCTGGGCACGTGCTTCCACAGATCATGGCGGCTGTCAAGTTTTGTGTACAACTTTACTATAATACTGCTCGATCTGGAGCTGCTGAACCCGAACCCCTGAACCCTTAAACCCGAAACCCGGAACCCTTAAACCCTCAACCGCTAAGGCTGGCCTGGATCTGCTTAGCTGTGTGCTTTCTCGGGGCCTCCCCGCTGCTGCGCACGCCCCTGGGTGGTGTCGCACAGAGGCCGTGGAGAGGGGGCCTTGGATCTCGGGTTTAGTTCAGTGTTTCGGGTTCAGGGTTTAGAGTTTACAGTAGGCGTCCAAAAGTTGGAAACCCAATAGCCTCGACCCGTAAGAGTAATGCATAGGGAATCGCAGCACTAATTGTCCTTAATCCGGTTTCCAACTTTTTAGGGCTCAGGGATTTAGTTCAGGGTTTAGGGTTCAGGGTTTAGGGTTCAGGGTTTAGGGGTCAGGTTTTAGGGCTCAAGGGGTTTCAGGGTTTAGGAGGAGGCCAGGCCGGCTTCAGGATTTGCGCGGTACTAGCGCAGGCCACGTCGTACACGGCCTTCAGGCTCCCGGGTGGTGTACAACGCTTAGCCGGCGACCTCGAATAATAACACTAATGTTAACAATGCGAATAATAATGAGAATACTAATATGATGATACAATAATCGTCACAATAATAAGGTTAATAAATACAATATTACTGGTATCCCTTTTGTGATGACGGCGATGATGTGTGTCATCATAAAAACGTTGTGTTTACTGTTGCTATCATCGGTTGAACTGAGCGTTAGTATTTTCACCATGACTGGTATCGGCAGTGCCCTTGGTTATGCTTCTAGGGTTTAGGGTTTAGGATCCGTTTAGTGCGCCACTTGGGTCCTTTCTAAGTTTGTTGAGTGGGTTCGGCCATAGTTTCTCTGCATCAGGATGTCGAGACGTCTTTTCGCCTTCCGTTCGAGCGGAACAGGGGAGGAGTATTGCTGTGGTATCATATCTACCATGAACTACTGTTGAATCAGAAGGTCTGTTATAGACTATTGCCAAATTCCTCAATCAATTTCTGCCACTGCTCGCATGGTTTTTGGAAGCACGTTTTCCGGGCTTTCCCATCAGCTCTAGCCCTAAAGCAAAACCTGCCATCCCATGCTTGCAGCTGCGCCGGGATGGGTTGTCCAGCATGTAATGTGGCATCAAGTTTGGAACGGCTCCTTTTTGCCAGGATAGGCGTGTACCCAGAGAGCTCTATATACACTTAATAGCATCGGCCATCGGAGCACGATTCAAAAGAAATAATATATATATATATACATAAGTATATACTTGAACTAACTCGGAAGTTAGGAGTGCTGGGTTGGACTCTGGATACGTGGCCTGTTATGCATCGCATTAGCTCTGGGACGGAAGTCGTAACTAAACCCCCAAAACCCGACAAATTTTAACACCGAACTTATAAACTGCCAGCCCCAAGCCCTTCTAAACCCTTGGCGGAAAAGTACTTCGGCAGGTACTGTGACCAGGTGCTTACCAAGGCACTGGACGGCTGGATGAGGCAGGTCTGCCTCGAGGCCCGCGGCTATTAATGTTAGTGTTAACAGTAATGGTATTAGTATTCACAGTGGTATTAGTATGACTAACCGTATTCGTGTTTGTGTCGGTACCAGTATCAGTACTAGCGTCAGCATATGTACTTGCATTCGTATTCGTATTGGTTTTATAGTAGCAGTAGCAGTAGCAGTAGCAGTAGCACTAGCACTGACACTAGCACTAGCAGTAGCAGGAGCAGGAGCAGGAGCTGGAGCTGGAGCAGGAGCAGGAGCAGGAGCTGGAGCTGGAGCTGGAGCTGGAGCAGGAGCAGCTGTAGCAGCTGTAGCAGCTGTAGCAGTAGTAGCAGT